TTCTCCGATTCCTATAGGTAAGATACCCTTAGCTTTTGACATGCTATTACGGATTAAATATTTTTTTCAATTTTTCCGTGTCGAAAGAAAATGAACTTCTAAACCTCTTACTAGTTGTCCAAATGTACGTTAGTAATCGATGAGGAATATAATGGCAGGCAAAAAATTATAGTCGGTTTTACATTTCTAAACTGTGTTGGCTCTAAGTGGTTTAAATAACGAGCCTCTGTTTTGTATCTGCAGAGAAACCAACTCCTGAAGGGCCAGAACCAGGTAATAGTTTCTAGCCATGGAATCTTTGTCTTTAGTTCTTCAAAAACCATAGCAAGTTTCTTGTGTTTATTATTACGAATCTATGGGAAATAAATCTACGTATCTTAGACGGAAGCACCAGGCCGACCAAAAACATAATCATAGGCTCATTTCACATTTTTTTTCTATATTGGGAGGGACAAATGGCTGAATGGGTATAATCTCTTTTTTTATTATTAATCAAAGCTATAACAACTGAAGATTTATGTCAGTCGCTCCTTAACTGCTCGCATTTCATTTTTCTATTTTCTATACTACATTTAAGCCAATTTTTATCTTTTGATTACTTGTTGGACCTATTGACGTCTTCCCCATTCATTAAAGAAATTCCATGTGAGGACAATCCTCTCGGAGCGAAGGAAGATGGAAAATTGCTCGACTCAAGCTTCACTGCTACGTCAAGTTATGCTGAGTTTCAACCCTTCAATGGTCGGTTGAATGGTCCATTGGCGTGGTGTGCCGAAGGGACTGGCGCAGGACAAGAGTATTTACAGATTCACGTACCGGATGCAGAAGCCATTTGTGCTATTGCTCTTCAAGGGACTGGTTTTGGAGGCGGAAATGAACATGTGACGCAGTTTTACTTGGAATACTCCATCGATGGCAGTCTGTGGGATACATTAGCGGATAAGGATGGAAATTTGAAGGTGAAGGCGAGAGTTCTCTTTTTTGTGTGTAACGTTAGGGGATCAACAAAAGCAGTAACAGTAACAATTATGATGATGTGAGGAGGAAGAACAAGAAGAAGAAGAGGGAAAAACTGTTTCATTCAAGTCAATGTTTAGACGTCTGATGACTGAATTACGTGCGCTAAGGGAGTGGTCATTATTCATCGGCCGCGGGGGTGGGGGAAGGGGGGTTTCGGAGGATTTTGGAGTGTCACAACTCAATTCATCTGATCCCTCTCTAAGGCTCTTCAGAATTCTAGTGACCCCCCCTCTTTGGTAGTCCGTTTTCTATGGTCTCCCCCTCCCCCCACCTCTATACTCTGTTAGCGAAGACTGATCCCCCGTTTTCCCTTGAAAACCATGTATTCCCCAAAATCTCTCCCCCCCTCCACCCCCTCAGGCGAAAAACGATTACTGGTCTTAACGCGGATACAACGAAATAATTCCAAATATATCTATAGAACTATTTACATGTTGTAACTCTAACTATGGTGTATAATGAATGACTTCTTGATACAGTCAGCGGTATAGTGAATGACTTCTTGATATAGTCAGGTGTATAGAGAATGACTTCATGATACAGTCAGTTTTACAAACCAAAAAAGAACGGTAAATATAACGATAATAATAGAGATGTAGTGTACATTGATGCTGTCGAATGAGATAAATGTTTACAAAAAGTGGGGCCGTGATGTAAAAATATGTGGTCATAAATTTATCTGTTTTTGTTGAACAGGTGTTCGAGGGCAATGAAGATTCCAAAACCACAATAAAAAGAGTGTTATTGGTTCCCGTCGAGGCAAAATACATTCGAATTGTCCCAGTTTCTTACGACGGATGGCCGTGTTTGAGAGTAGAGCTGTATGGAAAAGGTAATTTGTCTCTGTCTAAACCGGCTTTCAGCTCAAACTACCGCGGTGAAATTTCACGGAGACATTTTTACGATACACACAATCATTATTTTAATTTCAAATTTTGCATTGGAATCCCTACTGACGTGAAAAATTGAGGAATAGATTAAAAATCTTTAGGAAAAACTCTCCGAAACAATAAACTATTCTAGAAACCCATTTCGATGACCTCTGTCTGACATATGCTAAACAAGAATTGCAATAATTCGAGGGGGAAGTGTTTAAAATTGAAGGGTAATCGTAGTGCTTATGGCAACGGGTTGAGACTGCATACTTTACTATAGAATCGCTCTTTACCAAATGTGCTCTCTTTGTCTTTTACAGAAAGGAAACAAAAAGCACCTTTCGGAGGTAGGAGAGAAGACATTTAAGAGTATATAAGTATTCATTAGACTTCTTAGCCGCATGATTTTATTCCTATTGTGCAAGGATTAAAAACGATCATGCTTACCTTTCCTCAGCGACGTTTTGATGTACCTCACCTTGGTGTTGTTTGGAATGTGTATTTCAATCGAGTCATTGTCATGTACCGACTTGAGGTGGGAAAAGCATGGATGAAAAAACTGTTCTTCTTTGAGAGTTATCAATAACGTTCAAACCTTTTTCCGGTAAAAATGTTGCTTTATTGCCAAATAGTTAGAAGTTTTCCGGAAACCACAGAACCGCGCATAACAATTCAAAGGATTTGAGGACAGATAACTGTTCGTAAATGGAGGCTAAATGGAAACATGCACAGGGCATTGGTATGAGCTCCCCTGATGCTACATGTATTTTTGGGAGCTAACCTCCAAAACTGTCGTCTATTGAGGGCTACGTTTATCATGGTTTATGTCCTAGCTTTCAAAATCTTACAATCTCTTAACTCACCAAATAACACTTAAAATTCTGATTCGAACCGGAAGCTACTTCGTCAAAGGGGCATGTTGGTGCCACCACGTTTTTTGGCAATGCTGGTACTAATAGAGAAGAACTTTAGGAAATGGCAAGTCAAAGAAAAAAATAACATTGGAATTTTTTGGATTTTGGTGTCTAATTTTTCATTTCACGACATGCTCTTATTGATTTCAACTTTCTTATCTCTTCTTCTCCAAAGTAATAGAAGAAACTACTTCTCCTCCCAAAGGTGAGATACATTAATATTTTGACTTTTGATTTGCAGTTTTTCATTTCAAAACATGCCTTTCTAGATATCAACTTTAGGAGAAGAAGAAACTACATCGTCTCTTGGAAAAGGCGAGACGACTATTGACTATTGACGACACGAATTTTGAATTTTCTTTTTCTTGATTTGTATGTTCTTAATGAGAAGAAGAAACTAGTTCGGCCTCTGAAGGTAAAACAGGTTATAATGTTAATTGTTAACCTCGCAACATGCACGGTTACTAACTTATTTATTTCTCCTATCTGAAAGAAGAAGAAAAAACTCCCGGGCCACCTGGTGAAGGTAGGTAGAGTTAATCCTTGATATTTCATCTTTATCGCACAGCATACGCGAATTTTCTCATTTTTTAGTTTTCGTTACTTACCTTTCATCTAACATCATGTCAAATTAATTTAAACCCCTTTAATCAAAGGAAAAGGAGAAACTTCATCGCCTCCTGGAAGAGGAGAAGTAATAACACCGCCACCTACAGGTGAGGAACCTTTTGTCACCAACTTTTCAATTCTTATTTCACAAGCATTTATTAGTATCTCCGATTCCTATAGGTAGGACACCCTTTGGTTGTATTTCAATCTTTTAACATTTAACAAGAGAAAAGCTCTATGAACGTGTTTGGGAAATATTCTGATGAAAATCTCTCCTTTTGTAAGAAATTCCATGCGAAGATGATGGTCTCGGGGCAAAGGAAGGTGGAAAATTGCCCGATTCAAGCTTTTCAGCACTTTCAAGTCACGGTACACGTTACTTTCCCTCTTTTGGTCGGTTGAATGGTCCGTCAGCTTGGTGTCCTATGACCAATCGTGATCAGTATCTTCAGATTCATGTGCCGGATGCGCGAGTCATTTGTGCCGTTGCGGTTCAAGGTTTTGAGAATAGGAATGAATATGTTACGAGTTTCTCAGTAACCTACTCAGTGGATGGGAATAAGTGGTTGGCATTTACAGATGACAAGGGCGAAAAGGAAAAGGTATTATTGATAACTTTAGAGAAATATAAACGGGAAATGAGAACTAAGCTGGCCCTCCTCCACTGAAACAAACCCTTACCCATCCCCACTTCCTAAAGTTTACTGAGGGTCTCAATGGGGTGATGGCTTTTACGGCTAACGGTTAAAATTTTGTTCAATGTACGGATGACGATTAATATCAATCCACTGTGGTCAACAGAGAGAAAATTTCACCGTTAATCTTTTTTTTTCACGTGACTAAGAAATAAGTGACAGATCTTTGAATTGAATTGTGCTTTATAAACCCTTCAAAATAAAAAAATGCAACGATAACGGTAACGATGATTATACTGCTGTGCTGTGGACGAGCAGCAGTGTCAGTTGAAAGTAAACGGTTATATCAGGGACATTGAAAGTGATAACAGTCACGGTTAGTAACGGCCGCTGTAGACGAGCAGGAGTGTAATTGAAAGTAAACGGTTATACCAGGGACATTGAAACTGGTCACGGTCATAGTTAGGGTAAATATAACGGTCGGTATCGATCACGACAACGCCAACTTTGTGATAACTGTTAACGTGACGAAAATGAAGACGACAGTCTATATAGTGCAATGTTGAGTGATTTTTTGTCAAAGAGGTACATACATTTCATTGCTTTCTCCATGTGCGGTTTAGTTTTACATGATAAACAGATTTTAAATGTTTTCAATGATTGAAGTATGCTGTAATTTTACGTTTTCACCCATCTTTTATTTGTTAAACAGGTGTTTGAAGGCAACAAGGATGCTACATCCATTGTAAAACAAGAATTTCCAGCTCCTGTGAGAGCCCAGTACATTCGAATTTACCCAGTGTCCTATGAGGAATGGCCTTGTTTGAGAGTAGAGCTGTATGGCAAAGGTAACCTAGGCTTGACACTTATTGCTAGTTACATGGAAAAACTCGAAGCCAACACTGTTTTTCCCTAACGATTGCCTTGATGCAGAGGTAAATCTGTGAGAAAATCTCTGTAGATTACTCTCATACGGAAACCTGTTGATAATTAACAATTCACCAAAGAGGACATCTACCTTTCCAGTCGCGGCTCGGTAGATTTCCGCACTTGCGACTGACGCTGAGGTGAATAGTAAACAGTGAGATAACAAAGCACAAAAAGATGATTCTAAATCAGCTATTCCTGCAATCATTGCAATATTTTCCTGCGCGAGTTACACAGAGGTGAATAACAAAGGATATCCGGAGTTTGAGTAGCCAATCAGAGCGCTCCTTTATTGCTATCCATTGTTTTAGTATAAACTGAATGACTCAACAGTAATTTGTGCTGATTTAAAGAGCTCAAAGAATCAAATATTTTAATGAGAAATTCATCGTACATCAAAAGCATTTCATTTGTTTCGAAGCAGCGAAGAAAAATAGAAGAGCTCCTCAAACACCAACTACGAGAAAAATTGGAAACGAAGTAAACTGTAATAAAAGCTTTCACGTGATTCCTTCGAGGGTGGTAAAAAGATCTGAAAGGAGTATTGAGAGAATCAGGACATGTCTTATTGGTGTTATCATCTTTTTTATATGTCAAATATAGCTACTCCGCTTACTGATTATAGAGGTACATGTTTACTGACTGCTAATTTTTTTTCGCAGAAACTGAGGAAGCGAAACCTACAGCACCAGGTGATTTTCCCCAAAAAGCGAAAGCTGCTGAAAAAATTAATCAAACAACACTTTATTGTGATTGCAAAGCAGCGTTAAGTACTCAGGCAGTTACTACTAAATTTTCTTCTTGAAATAATTGCTCCAAAAAAAAACATGATTATCGTATTTTTACACTTTAACAAGTTATATGCTATAACTGCCTTCGAATGCATTCCACTATCACCAAGATGATAACCATATATATACATGAAACTTCGATTTAAGAGGCAAAATTCCATCTGAAATACATATATGCGTTTGTAGCTTTAAATTGAATTTTCAGAAAATACTATGATTTCTTTGTCAAGAGAAAAGAAAACTTCTTTGCCTTCTAAATAGAATGCCCGTATCACAATTAATAGTTTTACAATCTTTCTTTCTAGGAGAGGAAAAAGTTACTTCGCCTCCTGGAGGTAAGTAATCTTATAATGATCATTTTACATCTCGTAACAAACACTTAATGTATCTCCTTATTTTCTTTTATTTGTTTGTTTTATTCACACAATATTTTTAATGACTTGCCTTTCTCTTTCTTTTTTCAAAGGAGAAGAAATAATTCCCCCGCCTGGTGAAGGTGAGGCATTTGTATGTATATATATATATTTCTTTACATAGCATGTATGGAAACTAACTTCGTATTCTATTCTTTTTCAAAGTTAAAGAAAAAACCACTGCACCTCCCAGTAAAGGTGAGGCAACTTCTAACATTTTTTCTTTATTGTGCAGCATGCAAAATTATTAATATATCTCATTCTTTTTATGTGAGGAGACTGAGAGGTTACTACCTCTTCCCCTAAATGAAAGACAGCTTGTAATGCATCTCCAAACATGCACGAATATAAGACTCTTTTAAAACCTGAGAGGGATTATCTCTTATTTACCTAAAATATTCTTAACTGAACTCCGCTTTAAAAAGTTTGAAAAATAAATAGTTCATCATATTTGAAGGAATTCCCAGGAGTCTGCCAGTAACATACAATCTCAGCGCAATTACGTCAATCCATGGTATTTTTTCTTTCCAAGAAATCCCATGCGAGTATAATGCTCTTGGGGCGGAGGAAGGTGGAAAATTGACCAAGGCAAGCTTCACTGCAACCTCTACTTACGCAAACGAGTTTCAATCTTTCAATGGTCGCTTGAATGGACCATTCGCCTGGTGCCCCGCTGACCTATTCGTTGGGCAAGAGTATCTACAGATTCACATACCGGAAGCGGAAATCGTCTGTGCCATTGCTCTTCAAGGGAGTGGAGTCGAGAATGCAAAGGAATATGTCAAAGAATACTTTGTGAAATATTCAGTTGATGGTGAAAAGTGGGACGAAATTAAGGACGGAAAAGGAAATTTGAAGGTATAGTTGTCTCCTAAAACTGTGTAAAATGCCTTCAATGGGAGTAGATCTTTTAATAACGACAATGAAGACAACCGTTGCGGTTAGGATGTTTATAAATTCGATTATAAAGTCTGACCTTTTGGATGAGAACAGCCCTGAGAAAGACTATTGTCAATAATAATGACCAGGGTTTGTTGAGTCAAACCTTCTACCAAATTCAAATGAAGTTTAAGACGTCACTGCGGCGACATAAGGAAAACATTGCCGAAAAAACGATCTTTCTTTTATCCCAAGAATTTCGTAAGTAGCTCCATGCGTTTACTGTTTCTGACGGTGCGACACCTTCCCATCGGCATATCATGTGAATGTAATATTTTCAGTGTTGGGTTCAAAGTAAAAGCGTGACTAAACGGCTGTCGAAGTTTCCCAGCTAAAAAGACGCAAAAGTTCGTGATCTCATGTTTTTGTTCTATAAGGACGGCTAAGAAATGTACAAACATTTCAAAAAGTTTTAAAACGCACGTGCAGCGCTATTGTTTTGTTCATTAGATCTTTTGTTCCGCTCCGTTCTCGTAGCCGTCGTCATTGTGCTCTTCTTTAAGTCGCTAATAAACGTACTGCTGATGATTAATTCTAAACTCAGCTGTGAGGATAACAGTATAATAGCTGCAACTATAGCCAGCATCTATATCAAATTTTTTTGTCTACCTATGAACCATAGAGAAATCTCTTCCGCGTGTCTGCTCGGCTCATGCTCGCGTGTCATTCCTGTTCACCCAACAATGTTTTTGCATTCCGACGTTATGTATATTAATGCTACCATCCAATATTGTTTACCTTATTTTTGAAAATTCTTTACAGTTATTCGAGGGCACGGATAGTCCTAAAGAGATATCCAAACAGGTTTTACCAGTTCCTGTAAAGGCCCACTACGTTCGCATTTACCCACTGTCATATGAGAGTTGGCCATGTTTGAGAGTTGAGCTATATGGAAAAGGTACTCACTTTCTTTTAGCCTTCAGAAACTGCTTTAGTCTTCGCCACTGATCAGAAAAAAATCAAGCATGTCATTCTCCTCTCAATTTCCCAAAATAGAGGAAAAGTGATGGAGAAAGCCGTTAGTTTTATGCCGAAGAAAATTTCATTATGTATGAGAAAACGTTTTGTCACATCCAAAAACTTAAATTCCAGTGGTGCTGACCAGGCCTATTTTCTTTATTTCTTACAGAAAGGCAACGAGCACCTTCCGAAACAGGTACGAGGAATAATGCTAGAAAAGTACTCACTTAACTTATGGCTACCGTATGTACTCCACTGAACGCTGCTACAGAAAAATTGCCAATCTTCGTAGTAATGAACACTACTTAAGCAGTAGTGAAAATAAAGCCTGAAAAAATTTAGGCCTGAACTAGATTTGAACCCATGACCTCTGCGATACCGACGCAGTGCTCTACCAACTGAAAACTGGTCATTATTTTGGTTCCAAATAAACACGTGAAGTGATGAATATATGACAGTGAATAAATAAAAATCATATTTGTGAACTGCGGTGTTTCAAGAAATGAATATTAAAGCGATCTTCGCAGTATTGAACACTACTTAAGCAGTTGTAAAAATGAGGCTTGAAAAAATTCAGGTCTCCATGGGATTTGAACCCATGACCTCTGTGATGCCGTCTGCAGTGCCCTATCAACTGAGTTAACAAACCAACTGGAAGCTGGATTCAAATCCCGTACAGGCCAAAATTTTTTCAGACGGCCTTACTTACCTAACTGTCACTATTGCTCAAGTAGTGTTCATTACTACGAAGATCACTCTCGTATTCATTACCTCATCCACAGTTCACATATATGATTTTCATATATTCACTATCAAGAAAGGGACACTTTTTCAGCAAATGCATTGAAAACATGAATCCATAGCTCCTTGTGGCTCAGTAGTAAAGCATCGAAGGTCTGAGGTTAGATTCGTCGTGGAGACTTACATTTCTCTTTGTTCCACGTTCGCGAGGCGGAGAAAAACATGTTTCCTGACGTTTATCTCTTGAAATGAGCGTGGTATAAAGATAAATTCTGATCTGGTGTATGAAAATAGATTAGTAAAGATGGTAAAATCCGTCATCGACGGTCGAACTTGATCACGTGAAACAAAACTTTGTCACGAGCGTGCAGCGAAGAGAAAGAGATCGAGTCCCTGAAGAATAATATCGTGGGAGACTGAGGGAACATTCCTTTTTTGTCGCCTCCTTTATTTTAGAAAATGAGGTGGAAGTCGGTAAATAATTAGAGGGTAACGATCTAAATTACTTTTCTTTTAGTTGCTTTTCTTTTCTTTTGTTTTCTTTTCTTCCTTCTGAGAAGAAAAACTACTACGCCTAACGGTAAATGTAGGATAATTTTTATTTGTAAGTTTTCACAACATCCTCGGACACTAACTTCTTATGCTTTGCTTTCACAAAGGAGGAGAAGAAACTACTTCCCATCCTGTTAAAGGTGAGTAAATTTTGGTTTTCTATTTTTCACCTCTTCCTGGACGGGTACTAACTCTGTATTCCATATTTTTTCAAATTAAAGGTGAAGAAACTACTTCGCCCCCTGGTGAAGGTGAGACGATTGGTATTGCTGTTGTTTATTTCTTCCTGCTCGGACACTAACTTCGTTTTCTCTTGTTTCTCAAAGGTGAAGGTGAAACTACAGAGTTGCAGTGTGATCCTGTCGGCGCAGCATATGGAGGTACCCTGCCGGACTCAAGTTTTTCGGCTTCCTCTGACAGCGGAGACGATTACAGCGCGTCCAAAGCTAGATTGAATGGTCCCTCGGCATGGTGCTCAGCAGATAATTCAAAACCAGGCGATTACCTTCAGATTGAATTACCAACTGAAATGTCAGTTTGTGCTATTGAAACGCAAGGTTTTGGCAGCTTTGGAGTATGGGTCAAAAGGTTTACTGTTGCAATATCCCCAGACGGTCAGGAATGGGAAACAATGGTAAGAGTGCCTTATACGAGGGTCTTGATAAAGTGATGGCTTTTATGGCAAACGGTTAAAATTTGTCAATTTTTACGCCTAATGGCTTCATCAGTTTTTGTCCGTTTTACGGATAATGGTTAAACCCACTAAGACTGTTATATACGATCTAAAACCTAACTCGTGGAGATTTAAGACAAGAATGCAAAAGTTATAATGAATATTTAAGGAGAGCGTACAGCAAGGAAATTTGCCATCTTTCGTATTCTGTTTACACGCATGACGCTTTCGACATTGCCGATCCTAACAGTATGCTGGATGCGTGACACACATGAACCTCGTAACCAAAATAGTTTAATTCACCAACGAGAACACATTTGGCTGAGTAGTGGCAGAGCATCAGAGCGCGAAATCTGAGAGTCTGAGGTTCGGTTCCTCATGGGGACTCGCAACTTTTTTTCTTTGTCCAACGCTCGTGACCAGACGATAAAACAAGCATCATAGTCTTTTTATGATTCCATCTTTCTTACCCTGTTTCAAACGGTAAGTTACACATATTTCATGTTTTTTTAGGTTATGGAGGGGAACGTAAATCCAACTGACCCATCAATTCAGAGATTTCCAAAACCCATCCATGGGCAGTTTGTTCGTATTTACCCAATGCAGTATCAAACAAACCCATGTATGAAGGTGGAAATATACGCAATAGGTGAGAAAATTTATTACTCTCATAAACTGCTCGTAAAATTCAAAGGAATTGTTATGGGTAATCATATGATTTGGAGCGTAATTTGGGATAACTCAGCAAAAGTAATTTTTTTAAAGGCTAACCAAATTGTTCGACCCGTAAGGCTGATTCATTTCAAATTGTTAAAGATAAATCATGCGATTACTTGTTAATAATATACGAATGTGAATAAATGAAAATTATATATGTGAACTGCGGCATAAGAAATGAATATGAAGGCGATCTTCGCAGTAACAAACACTTCGTAAGTAGTAGTGAAAATAAGGCCTGTAAAAAATTCAGGTCTGTATGGGATTTGAACCCGTGACCTTTGCGATACCGGTGCAGTACTCTACCAACTGAGCTAACAAGCTGTCTGAGACCAATTTTTTAAATTTTTTTTTGGCAATATGGAAAGTTGGTTAAGCCTTTACACCCTAACATCAGTATGCATATTCTCCATACTGTTCTCTATACATTTCCTAAGGCGCTGACTGAGAGAATTTGTTTAACAATCAAGAGCTTGTTAATTTGGTGATCATTTTCTTCATTCGTGAGTGATGGAGGGGTGATGAAGAAAGGAGAAAATAGGTACTAATCAGGTCCTAGGGGTCAAAGGGTTGAATAATAACCGTTGTTGCTGGGGAGGAAGGCACCCAACAAAAGATTAGTTTATAGTCTCTAGTTCAAACAAGATGTTTTCTGGTGTAGTCTGATCTTCCGGGTGAGATTTGACTTAAAAAGGAAAGTTTATCGATAAGAGTGATTAACGTTTCGGTGACAACCTGAGCGAAAGTCAACATCAGTTTGATGGTTGAAAGTTTGGTTAGCAAAAACTTATCAGTCAGTCTCCCGTGACCATGATAGGAAGAGCATAGACCACAGGAGGCGTAAGTCAGTCCTGATTGGTCAGTTTAAATCCAAATGTGACGTCGGGTGATTCTGTTTGTTCTGTCCGTTTCGTGAGTTGATGTCGTGAATGAGTCGTTTGTATGCTGTCGATAGTTGTTGACATTTGTCGAGAAGGTTCTGTTGTAATTTACGAAGAAACCCAGCTTCCTAAAGTTTGTCGTAAAAAGACAGGAATAGATAGAATTGGAACCATTATGATGAGGAAGAGCGAAGACTGATTTGTTTCACTAATCTAAGGAAGTAAGGAAAAAACATTGAAAATACAAAGAAAACATGTCGTAGCTTTTTAAGTCTCTGAAATGTTGAAGTACTGTCCTACAATGTCATGGGTAGATGGATTATAATAAAATCAGAACGAGCTGAATTAAAGCAATCTGTACATTTCTGTTCGTTCACATCCTTCAACTTCATTACACAATTATCCCTTTGCCTGCAACTGCAACTGAATTGTTTACTTCTCCTCTACGAGATGAGTTTCTCTTTTCATTTTCCTTGCTTAATTTTCTATGATTTTTCCTTCATTCTTTCAGCGACTGAAAAGTTTCCTCACCCAAAAGGTAAAAATATTGATTAATAAAAAATGATCCCTTTATAATCTATTGGTAATAATATATCAAACAACTCGTAAAAAGAAGACCTATTTGGCGTGCCATTCTGGCGCATCGCTGAGTGCATTGAAATCGTGTCTTTAAATTTTCAAATTGAAGGCCTAAAAATCAAAAAGATAACAAACGAGTAGAGCAGATTAGTCTGTGCGGTGAATTTGATTAGAGCATCTTAATTATTTATCGATTATTTATTGATCTACGTATCGATTACTGTGATTTGTTTAAAGACCAAATAGTCATGCGTGTGTTGCATGTGTGGAGCATCTTTAAGCAAAAGGAAGGCAATTGTGGACTAAATGTTCTGATTTTTACTTTCTTTTACAGAAACTGAAAAAGAAATTATGCAAGAGAATCCCCCTCCTCCGAAGACTCCCACGGGTGAGGAAAAAGGTTCACCACCTCCTCTCCCAGTTATTCCACTAATTCCCACAACAGTCCCTGGCAAGGGGATGGACATAGGAATTGTGATTGGTGTAACCGAAAGCGAATTTGAGATTATTAAAATGTTCATATCTCGGTTGCTCATATTCATCAGTCAGAACTTCCCAAATGTTCAATTTGGACTCATCATTTACAGTGATAGGCCCGAGCTTATAATGACTCTCCAACACATTGAGTACGTCAACGTCAAGGTGATCATCGAAGGGATGTCGTATGTCCCTGGGGGGCACCGTACGGATCTCGCTATGCTGTACGCCAGTCGTAAGCTGTTCTGTCCCGTGGGGTGTGAGGACCGACCGGAAGAGGAAAATGTGATGATACTTTTCACCTCTGAAAAAACTGATGCCGGCTCGATCCCGTACAGTCTTGTGTCACCGATTATGAAGGTATACGAAAAGGCTTTGCTTTTAGTCAAAGTGCCCCACAAAACTATCATGAAGTTATTCCTTTCTTTTAAGATCCAAACCTGTCCATTCTTATTCCCAGTGCTACGAGTTCACTTCTCGCATTACTGATCAGCACACCCTGTAGCGGCATTCATAAATTGAAACTTTTGTACAATCATTTGGTGGTAAATTTCTAACCAAATGATCTCCACAGGAGAACTGCAATTTAAGAATATAATCGCAAAAAACGATTGCACTTTTTAACATGGATTGCAAATGACTACCATGAATATTAATTTCGGCTCATCGTTTAACGATGTGCAATTGAAACAAATTATTTTTTATTAATACTATAGCGCACTTACAGATTTTTAATACATACATCTAATTCGATGTTTTAACATATAGTATGCGCTGACTTAAAGTGAGTTGCGTTTCAGATTTCCGAGCCCTGTAAGGGCAAGGAAAATGCATCCAATGAGCTTTCCAACCGAATTTTGCCTTGTTCGACAAATTATCACTGTGGAATATTTAGCGCGTTTTGTTTCCCTAATATGGCAAATTGGCGTAATTAATGGAACGATTAATGAAATAGACGTTATCTCCTATGATTTTTTTTTCAGAATTGTTCGTCCAACATAATCGCCGTCGGACTGTCCAATAAAGTCAGTAAATCAGAGCTGGTCCAAATAGCACTTGGTGCGCCCGAGCGCGTGCTTCGATACAACTCGGTAGATTCTCTGGATTCAAACGTCATACATCAGATCTCAGCCATGATCGAACAAGGACCTGTTGTAAAGACTGTTGAAAAAACTGTCACGACCACTTCTAGTAAGTTTGTCAACTTGAATCTTTACAGTCTAATAACTTTACTCGTATATGCTACGACGTGACTCAAAGAGAATAGATGTAAGGAATATAATAGAAATATCATGCGTTAATTCTGCAATATGCCATCGCTAGTTACAATACTATACAGTCCACTCGATATAGCTCTCTGTCATATTTTGATGTTTCTCACACTTGCTGTGGCGTTGCTAAAGAAGCCGTGAGAAATAAGTTGGTGATTGGCCTAAAGCGATGAACTAATACTTTCCCCCAGGCCCCTCCCTTCACATCTTCAGCCCTTTTGAGAGCCTCCTCGTGAGCCTTTTTTTCTCAGTCTCTCTTAAGAGTTTTGAATTTATAAATTCGAGTTTATAAAGGGCTACATGTATTAAAAAAAAAAAGCAAAAAGGAAAAGTGACAAGGCCAATATAAGGTAGATTACCAATATGTTGAATGGAGATTGGTCGATCATGACAAGTAAAATAACAGTTAGCATGTACATCTAAAACTCCTTTTTTTTGTTTGCAGAGGTGATTATCCACGAGTTGCCTTGAGCCGTTAATTTTTGATGTTTTCTTGCTGAGCTTAGTTTAACCGAGACAACGTTGTGTTTGTCTGCTGATTTGTCACGATTATGCAATGTTTTAAAAGCTGCTAAGGCTGCGGGAAAAACTAGGATGGAAGGTTTTATATTTAGCTCGAGGATGAATGGGGCCGTAGGAGTCATGCTAAACTTCAATGAAACCCAATTCGGGTGAAGGAAAATACAAATAGCAAAGAAGCAAGATATTCAGCCAGTAAATCGTATAAATTGTGCCCCGTGAGGAACGTGATCTTATGAAGAAGAATTGACCGTGCGAGCAGAAATGGTTGGATCATTTCCTTAGAAACGTTTAGTTACGTATCTAAACCCTGGCTTGAATTTTTTTAATGGACTGTTTCTGATTTAATTTGTGTTGATTATCACTCAATGGCGTAATTAATCACATGCCGCCATGTGTACCACACGTCATGTTCACCTGCAAAGGAAATTAAAATTCGTCGCGTTCGGGTTTGGCTTAAAAACGTAACTCCAATGAATAGCATTGAACTCAAGAAGTCTAATGCATATGGTTTCGGAATACTGATTCAAACAAGTTGTTCCCAGTAAAAGCATCTGGTAAATCAATAATTTTCATATTGCTTAATTAAGAAATGTTTTACTTTTTTGTGTAGATAGCTGTCTCAGCCGTCGAAAAACCTTTATAATTAAGGCATGGAATATCAGTAAATCTGGGGAAGGTAATTCCATTCGAAACAAGCCACGCAATTGAACATTACTTTCCTTCTTGATAAATGCAGGTTAGAATAAGTGGGTCAGTTTAGGGTGGTAAGATATTTGTAAGCCTTTAAAAACCAATATTCAAAACAAAACTTGAGAGAATTAGTCAGAAGTAGAAATTATTTCTAATTATTATCATAAGTATCAAGTTACAGTGCACATTGCCAGATCAGTAGTATGAATAAGTGTTATTTTCACAATAAAAACAAAACAAACAATAATTCTATCTCATCATCATTGCCATTGAGGTCCCATGGGACAGCTTAACGCATGCGTTCTGCCTGTGCTTATCGCGCACAAAAGTTTTTGGAAAAAAATTGCTCCAATTTACTTTACTTAAAGTAAGGAATAGGAAAGAGGTTCGTATCCCGTCAAAAGGATGCTCTTCTTTTGTTGTTGCCGTGACAAGCTCCAGGAGAAAGTTTCTTGGGCAATTAAAAGGAAAAAACCAACACGATTTTTTTCGCCAATTCGACTTTCATGTCATCTTTAACAGCTAAGCCTGCAAAGTGAAGCTAGAGGAGGGGGAAGGGGTGAGGGACAGAAAGTGCAGCTAGAGGATGGGGAAGGGGCGAGGGACAGAAAGTGCAGCAAGAGGAGGGGGAAGGGGTGAGGGACAGGGTCGTGTGAATTTAACATCGGCAATATCCTTCTCTTCTGAAGAAAGTGGTTGGCCATGGTAGCTGACACATAAAACGAAAAATTTTCAAAAAGTTAAGGGGTTGAAGTTTCAATGTATTCTTGCATCAGTTGTTGAGTGCCTGTGACGTCATCTTTCTATTTCCTTATATTGACCAAAGAAGGGGCATTTTGTCACCAAAAAAACTGAATTATTTTGATGAAACATCTACTTCTGTGTCACCAATGGTTAGGGTAAGTTCATTTCTCTTAATCGAATAATGATAAAAGGCGCTTTTGATATATACTCACTACTCACCTTATCATCTACATTTATGTCGCCTAAATGCATGATGAATACATCCATCGACCAAGCTGATTAAAAGCTCGTCGTCTGCTAATGGCACACTTGGTGAATCACGTGATTCGGTGCAATGGTTGGCTGGTTTTGCGCGGTAACTATAACTGTAGCTGATCTCGCTTCAAATAAACGGCTCGACTGTTCATTTGGAAGTACCACACAATCGTTGTCTGGGACACATGGATCTTAGCCCGTTTAAGTCCTTAATCTTTTATTAACACCTTAATTTGTACGATTTCTTTAGTTGAACTGTGCTTTTAGTCATTTGTTCCATTTTGTTCCATTATGTTCGAATGAATGAATAATACTATTGACAAAATTACATACGATCAAAAATCGCAATATCAGATCCTTAGAAAATTATAAATTTTGACAAGGAATTTTCCTTTCCATTGCAGACCTCCATTTCAGGTTGATAAGGCAGTTCTACTCACTTAAGCTTTTTTAAAGAAAAATTGCGTGCAAACTTGATGAAACGCGTTGGCGAGTTATTGATTACAGTCCCAGGGGCTAAACTGTTATGCAAATTACGTTGCAATTGTCACCAGAATAGACAACAACTTTCATTGACCATTGACACTTCTCAGGCTGAATAAATAGGGACCCTTGATAACTGCGTTTAACAGTCCATTAGTGCAATCACTCCGTGAGGTTTGGAATAAAAAGTCATCGCCAACGGTAAGAATTTTTTCTCTGTATTATCAGATGCAAGGTATAACTTCTAAACCGTTTCTGTTAAATGCTGACGGTTTTCAAAGATTTTTACAACGATCACAAAAGATATAAGTGTTTTGACCTCTCTGCAGGTGTCTCCCGCGTATTCCTCAAATATACAATATTTCCTTTTAATCAATTATTGCAAAAATGATTTCTAACTCATCTATATTTTTCAAGTGATATGACTGATAATCGGGAGATGGTTTTTGCTGCACTGTATATCTGTTGGCATATATTGATCAAACTCCTTTTGCACACTTTTTACGCGCCCTTTGCGAATTAGTGAAATCATTCCCTTATATTAATAAAGCTTTGAATAATAGTTGTTTTGTTACTTTCACATGAAAGCGTCAGTCAATTACCATTTTATTAAACTGAAAATTTAAAAAAAAAGGACCAATCAATCAGAACTTTCTTTAGTTTTTTTCAAACGTAGTTCAGTGTAATGTATTCAGTGCTAATCTGTCTAGAAATAGCGGTTCATAATTAAAGTTAGAATTTACAAAAAATATGGCGCTAACATAATTATGCTGCACAGTTCATTAATTTTTGAATTTTTTTAATTTGTCTACTGCAGAAATGAGGTTTTTTATGTCATTTGCTGTCCTGTTGGCTTTTACAGGATCAAGCCAGGGTAAGTATGTGCCCCCGTTTGCCTGTTAGTACGGAAATAATGATAATTGTACAGAACGAAGAAAGCTTCCATCTTAACTAGCAGTTTTCCTTACATTAAGCCGTTAATGAACCGTCCGCAACCAAGTACGTTCTTCAACCATGTACAACCAAAAAGCTCTTGATGATCTTTAAAAGGAATGGACCCAAGAATTCAAGCCAAGTTGTGATATTCTAATTGGTGGTTTTGGATCATTTCTGATAGCATATCAAGATAATCTCAAGTTCAAAGCAAAAGTGCCTTAGCCTTTGTCAATTAGCCACATAGATGTGCGCGCCCGATACTGCCGCGTTTTTTTCATAATCACTGTGCGTTTGTTGTTAATTAATTAAAATTATTCAAATTGATACATGCATAAATGAGACGCCATGAGGTTCCGGCGGGAAGTTTTGAGCATACTTTCAAATGAGTTTCACCTTTCTCGTGCCTGTATTAAAAAAAAAACAAAACCGAGAAAAAAAAAGATTTTTCGTTTGCTGCATACAGCATTCCCAGCCATTCTTTAATGTTCATATCTTTGCATTTGGTTCACCAAATGTAAATTAAATAATGAAAAGAAGAAATATTCAATAAAAGAGAAAAAAGATAATCTTTCGTAGTTCATATCTGTTAAATGCACAGAATCTTAATAATGACTGAATAATGTCTGAAGTAATTCTATCATAAAGGTCGACTGATTCCACGTGACAAGATCGTCTTGAACAAAAAAGAGGCATTCGATTTCTTTGGCTTCTTTAAAGATATCGACCACGAGTGTTATGAGGAAGGTTGCACTTTTGGTGAGGTTGTCGATCATTATGGCCACAAGGAAAAATCGGTAAGATTTTTTTGTGTGGGTTTTTTTTTTCCTTATTGTCGAAGCTCTTGTTATTGAGTTTGTGCGCAGTCTTCTCTCTGTCAACATAGTTGGTCACGTAATTTCAAAGAAGTGAGTACAAAGGTAACGCAAGGCGAAAACTAAGAGTGGGAAGCGTTGCCCTCGTGCTCCCAGTCTCCGCGTGACAATTATTCACTTGCCACTCATTCAATAATAATAATTATTTTCATTTATCTATTTTTCATGATTACTCTCAGACTTAGCAGTGAAACTGGATCTGTGCGTAGAAGATGTCTCATCGAGATGTCGGCGCGAGTTTATACTTTGCGCCAATCCCACATCCAGCTAATTAGACTGGAGTTAAAAGAAATCAGAAATTAAAATCAATTGTCTGTCCATCAATCAGTAGATTCCTCATAACTTCAGTTCAACAGTATACTTTTACCGGCTGAATCTGTGTAATGATACAAGAGAGCGATGAAGACTGTATAGATTGTTACTTATTGTCACGTTGAGGTAGTAATATTTTTTTTGTCTTGGTAAATTATAGTACGAGTATTGGAACACTTACCAGTGCGAGAAATTTCAAAAAGGCTGTACAGGTATTGTGAGTGGTAACTGTATTACGTTCCCTGATGCAAACATTAGGGGGTCTAAGACGCCATGCATTACGATAACGTGTGGTAAACGTTACGAAAAAACGAAATTTACTTTCCTCTAAAGCTTTTGCCATCTCTAGCTCGGTTGCGTTCATCTTCGCTTCGGCATAACGTATGAATATAGCGTTGAGCTCAAATTAAAAACTTGACTGAATTACTGTCGAGGTTTCATTGCTAAGAGGACGTAAAAGTTGGTGATTTCGCGTTTCAGATCTGAATGCATGGGACGGCTGAGAAATGTACAAAGTATTGAAACGCACGTGTTTCCCTTTTGTTCTGCAAATGAAATATTTTGTTTTGCGACGTTCTCGTTGCCGTCGTGGTTATCCTTAAAGTCCCTATCATCATCATCACTGTGACCGTTGATAACCCATCGTCATCATTGACTGCATCATCATTATTGTTAACATTATTATAAGTGTACTTCTATCGCTTCCTTTTTTTAAAAAAATTGAAAATGTTTCCTATTGTTAAATGTTGTGTAAATTGGAAAGTGTAAATAAAGCAGCTGTGGAGAAACAAAGGACTACTTAGCGGATTTTTTTCTCCTTACAATCATAATCGTCATCCTAATTATGCAAGCGCCTATCAGCATGTTATTTCTGTGGTGTTTTAAAAGCGACCGGGCCCTACAGAGGCTTAAACTCAATAATCTAAGGTTAGACTGAAGATGATTCTATCCCTAATGTGTTTTAGACAAAGAGTGCCGTGGGAACTCTGTTGGAATTGAAGATCCGGATAAAGTTTCCGGGGGAGGAATTGTTGCTTCCTCATGGCTCAGATCAAACTTAGATTTCGCACCATCTCAAGGGAGATTGCACAACGAAAAAGGATCCTGGTGCGCAAATAAGCAAGAAGAGGATCCAAAACCGTATCTTCAGGTAATGATAGCTGGTTTTTTTTTTCTTTTTTTTTCGTACTTTGCTTTAGAGATTCATTAAAAAGTACATTCGGACTGTCCATTTCGTTCTCTCTTTAAGGATTTTCGTCTCTGCTCACGCTATAATAATGTCAATTATGGCGCTTAGCATGTTTATAAGCCTTTGTTTGGTTCTTCTGTTGCAACTCGCTGGCTTGCTTGTTCCGAAATGTCATTTTCAATTAAGGAAAAAAGCTAAAGGGAAGTCCGGGAAATGGCAGATGGGGTGAAAGCTTTAGCTCAGCTTCATGTTTTGTACTCTGATTGAGCGCGCTCTTTCAACCGATGGCAGGGCGCGTTATATCCAAACTTCATTATAAATAAAGTTGGTTCACACCACAAGTGTAAAAAGTGCTTTTCGCGCTCTCTGACTCGCTAATTTGGAATATTCACCTTCTAGCGACAGAAGAGAAAAACTCGCGCGTCAAAAGTTTAATTCCCGGCCGTTTTGCGGTATGCTTACAGAAATAAACCCATTTTTCCGGTATATACTAAAACGATTATATACCTCAGTGTCGATGAAAGTGGTGGGTATTTACTTCCCCTTCGGTGGTAGTTATTAACCATTACTCTTGCTCTTATGAGACGACAAAGGAAAAGGTCGTCCGAATTCCACAACTACTGTTAGTATAACTATCCTCTACGTTGAGAAATTAAGATATTAACCAGTAGGAGTCTAAATTTAAGCTTGCTTTAAGGTAAATCGGATTGAACCTTCTCATGTACGGGTACCTCAACGTACAAGGTTGGAGTGTAATGCAATTAAAAAACATTAGCAGCAACAGTCGAAATAAAAATTCATATCCCGCTAATCATTAGGTCGAGCTTCCAGTGCGTACTGGAGTTTGCGCAGTAGCTACACAAGGATCAGCTCTGTACGATACCGACTACGTCACGAAATACGAAATCCAAACCTCATTGGACAAAAAGAATTGGGTAACATACCAGGAAAATGGAACGGACAAGGTAAATTAAACATGCAATGTGATGGACGCTCTGTTTGTGTCTCCTATATGATACATGATATAACTAAACAAAAAGAAATATATGTATCAGAATTACTCGCAGAATGTAAGAATCGTCTTCGATAAATCCACCCAATAAATTATCGCGCCTCACTCTCTGTTAGTAACCCACGCTATCAAAAGCCGAACCTTAGAATTTTGGATATTTTCGTCATTAAGAGAAAGTATCAACTTCAAATCCTTGATATCTTCTCAAATTTCTCCAAGTCAAGCTAGTTCAGACGATTCAAAATTTGAGTTTTTTATAAGAATCTCTCGATAACTTTGTTTCTTTTTGATTCGACAGATTTTTCACGGTAACACTAACGCCGATCACATGCTAAAAGTAAACCTCGATCAACCGGTTCTGGCCATGTTTGTCCGGTTTGTCATAAAAGAATTCGTCGAATGGCCATGTATGCGTGTTGAAGTTTACGGTACACCTGCAAGTAAGTCATTGAAAAGAATTGGAAAACTTTTCAGTCGATCAAAGATTGCTTGTTCGCAATCTTTCATTTGAATAATTAGTTATAACAACATTTAGTTATGGCAGTCTAGTTAGCGACAGTTAGAACCACTTTGCACGACAGTAAAATGAAAGTGCTACTCATCAGATCTCGTTTAGGAGGCTACAAAGAAACAAATTGAGGTTAACCGTTTTTATGATTCCTTTTTCAATAATCAACAATGTCACAGGAGAGTAATGATGGTGGGTAAGCGTAGTAGCTTTCGGAACAAGGACCCCCTCCCTACCTCTCTTAACACTACATAAACAAAGTGAGAGGGGTTTATCTTTGCTTGAAAATGGCTAAATACCTTTTTTTTGCTTAGATCGACGTAACGAATGCTTCAATACTTTTATTTTTGTAGATTGTACTGTTAGGACAAAGGACAACGAATGTTGTGTGTTTCCCTTCATGTACAAAGGAGAGAGACACTTTTCATGTTTACCATCTTTATTCAACGGCGATTGGTGTGCGACAACACACGACTATGGCAAAGATAAAAAATGGGGAGAGTGCTTAGGTCTGTTTAAGATTTTTGTGTTGGACTTAATTATATTCACCGAACTTACAGGGGAAAAAAAATGAATTAGGGATTCCATGACCTACTTCCTGGACGCTGAGCGGGCGCTATTGCGAATTTAGTTGCGAAGCCCAATGACAGAAGTGTGGAAGATTCCAGACCTTAAATTTTTGTAAGAAATCTGATAGAAAATAAACCTTGAAATGAATCATACAGGACGCTAAGATAACTTTCAATTGAGTCTCAGAATAAATTAAAGCAGTCTTATTCCTGAAAGACTTTGGTAGGCATCTTAATGATCATTTAAGGTTTCCAATTGGTCATCTCTCAATTGTATCGAAATTTTTCTCTTTTTTTTCGCAGAAGGAGACTTGAACGCATGAAGTAGGATGCAAGCCGAAATCACCATGCAACAGCAGATCCTACTTACGTTTGAATCAAGATAGCACCTTGTAAAGAAGGCCTGGCCTTCAGCACGTATGGGTTTCTTTCAATCACCGTTTATCATTACAAGTACTTGACAATAAGGGTAATTTCACTTTCTGTACACAATTCACTTAATAAACGTGTTTTTTCACGAACTCCCCTCTGTTTGGCTTTTGTTCTGGGCGAAGTACGCGAGGAGTTTTCTTCCCGAAGTGGGGATGGTGCACATGGCCTGAGCCCCTTTCTCCTCTCCTGCGGGTTGATTGGGCGATACAAGTGTACTATGCACCTTACACTTAAGCTTTTTGACGGATTATCAAAATTAGTAGCGCTGGAATTAGAGCTGAAATATAACGGTGAGGGTCTTCGCAGATACCGACCGAATACGCAAAATTTCTCACCTTGTTGATAGACCAAACAAATTCACTGAAATCCATTTCCACCTTCGAAATTGATATCTACAGAAGTCTTTGGGAAAACATCCACGAGTTCGAAAAAAAACATCCGAAAAAAAAACAAGCAATCAATAACTTTTGTAGACCTGCCTACTGACCTCCACTGAAATTTATATCAGAGCTCGGTAACATCTCTGGATACTCAGAATTCTCAATCGCCGATGTGGGTCGCCACATGACTGCGAATGATGGGAAAGATACCAGCTATTTATATGCGCATGCTTACGATATTTCATGCAACAAACTTGGGATTTCTCCCTCAGTTTTAAAGAACAGCAAGTATGTATATTGACAATACTTGCCAGGAACAATGTTTCTCAAATTTTAGGCACTATTTCATCGGCAAGATAAGGTAAGCAAGACAAACGCACCAAATCAATTAAGTCATCACATCTATTTTCCTCTGATGCCTGGTTCATTCAACCATTGTGAAAGTTTCCCTTCATTTGCATTTTCTTTTGGCAAATATTGATCTTCAGCACCCCTGATCCATTCATTGACAATAAAATTACATTTTTTATTAAATTAGCTGTATTTGCATGGTGAATACATTGGGATCTTCTTTTGTCAATTGGAGTTAACCGTCTTCCCGCGGGATATACTGACAAGCGCTAAAAATCTCCAATCGTTCTCAACGGAGAGAAGACGCCTCCATAAGCTTCAAACACAAAGATGTTCCGTGTTATATTCATTTTAATTCTTGCAGCCAGAGTTTTGTACTCCTCAAGTAAGTCTTTTTGATCATCCTTTCTTTTTTATTTTCTTATTTTCAGAGCGTGTTCTTTTTTTTGAGATCTAGTTCTCTTCAATTTCGTTTTAGACCTTGATTGCCGCGACAATTCTCTCAGAGTTGAAGATTTCAAAAGAGTTTCCGGTGGAGGAATTGTTGCTTCCTCTTGGTTTTCACCGTACTCAGATTTTGCGCCATGTCAAGGAAGATTAAACAACCAGAAAGGAACATGGTGTTCGAATCGGCCAGAAAAAGACCCCAGACCGTATCTTCAGGCAAGGAATTAGCTTTTGTTCTCTCTGCTCAGGGGTACAAAGGCAACTGTTTCCTTGCTCTAAGGTGAAAAGCCACAAAATCCAGCCGAATGTCCTGAGCACTGGCCTAATGATGAGCCAGTGAACTGACCGTGTACGAAAGGGTTTTATGGTTTTATATTTAATCCCTGAGTGAGAGGTGCGCCATGAATAAGATTGAGTCTCACGAGCAATTCTGTCATATTTCAACTTAATTAAATAGCAATGATAGTGACAATACCCCATATTTAAAATAAATGACAACGAAGACGATGTTGACTTCGATGGCAGGATGGTGATGATAACAAAAAAGATTCTTCTCGGTCGATATCAAAGGCACTGCTAACATCTCACGGTTATCCATAGGTCGAGCTTCCTCAGCGAACTCGAGTTTGCGCAGTAGCCACACAAGGATCATCTCTATATGCAACTGACTACGTAACAAAATTTGAAATCCAAACCTCGCTGGATAAGAGAAACTGGGTAACATACAAAGAAAATGGCACGAACAAGGTATAAACATCTTTTAGTGGAACAAGCTTGTTGATTTTAAAACTTACAAAATGAGAAGATAACCTCATAACCACGTACTTTTATAAATCATTCATGTTTTATTTATTTGAAGCTTCATCGAGAACTAGAAAAGTACATACGTGAATTCACATTTGACTCTTATCACATTTTCAAAGTCAGTATGTCAGTTACGTTGGGTTGTTACCAGAGAAGTTACTAGCGGATCTCTCTGAAGCTCTTTCTTTCCAACAGACTCAAACAATTCAAAAAATCTATTTCTTTTCATCCTTTATCATTCAACAGATTTTTAAAGGTAACACTGACGCAAATTATAAGCTAAAAACGAACCTCGGTGAACCAGTTCTGGCCATGTTTGTCCGGTTTGTTGTCAGAGAATATAACAACTGGCCGTGCATGCGCGTTGAGGTCTACGGAGAACCAACTTGTAAGTCAGAAGGAGAGGAAAAACCTTAAAAAATCTTGAATTCGACTCTGGTAATCATGGTAATTGTAAATTTGATCTTTAATCTATTTCATTTTGCAGATTGCACTGTGAAAACAAAGGACAATGAATGTTGTGTGTTCCCATTCATGTTCAAAGGAGAGAGATACTTCACATGCATATCATACTCGTTTGGCAGAAAATGGTGTGCGACAACACCCGACTATGACAAAGATGCCAAATGGGGAAAGTGCTGAGCTTTTCTAATCAAGGTTTTTCTAGTTTTTCAGACTTAACAGAATTTGTTAGGAACCGCTGTTTGTTTCCTGTAACGTGATTGACTAATTTTTTCGCGCGCTCTTGGCAAAAGAAATAGCGCGGTAAATCAAGTTGTTTTAGCGAGTTTCAGAGAGGAAAGACTGATGAGCGTAAGGGGAGCTTTAGACGACCTAAAACAACGTTTCAAGCTGAGTTAAGTCCGAAAGGAAATTAAAAGAAAATCTTGTATTCGTATCAAGAGCAATTTCAGGGGCAGGAAACGATAAAACCCAGAGAGAGGGAGAGTGCGAGTCGCCGTCAAGTTTGAGCTTTTAACCCATTGAGCACTTCATCGTTATCTGAAGGCTGGTCTCAATTATCTTCACTTTTTTTTTTGTCCTTTTTCAACAGAAAACTAAAGTAAAGAGCAAGAGGCCGATGCACTTGCAGTTTCTACATTTGAAAGAAGAAAACATTATTTTTAGATAGCCTTGTAGCTTTGAAAAGCGTCTTACATCATACGTAGGTTTATCATTTCAAACACGTAAAGCAAGAGAATATGTATTTAATAAACATGTTTGCTCACGAACTCCTTTCACCTCGGTAAATTTATTTTGAATGGGCTTAGTCCTCCTGCGGCCTTGGCTAAGAGCAGGTCTCCTGAAGTTGTAATACTAGTGCACAATCCCCCGCGCTCCTTTATCTATGCGCTAAGTTCCTTATCAATTTTCTCCTTACGAGTATTCAGTTCAAACTTGTATATTTAAGAATGAATTTTAACAACTCTCATGAAGCGCTGAAACAAAAGGAAGTGACGATCCATCCGAAAAAAAAGCAAGATCAACGCACCCAATTAGTCTTGCTTCAATTCATGCTACGGTGTTGCTCGCCCAACTATTGTAATTTTCAGCCAATTGTTTTCCTAAATTGTAAATATTGACCCCAAAAACAACCTTTAGCCCATTCTCTGATAAGCAAATTTATTCGCATTATTAGCCTAGCTGTGTTTACTTTTAAACTGTAAAAACCCTTGATGAATATTTTGATCGACATATGAATTCAAATGTTTTGCGTTTGTTAAAGGTTAGCCGTTTTTTTAGCTGCGCCATCGGCGAGAGGCGGACGCGTATAAAGCAAACCGTAAAACACTAGACTCCATCCCTGCACAGATCAAAAAGCTCCTTACAAGCTCAGTCAACGAAATGTTCAGGGTGATTTTCGCCTTAGTCCTTGTGACTATCTTTCATATCTCCTCAAGTGAGTCCAATTATTCTGGAATCTTTTTGTGATTGTCAGACAATGTCCTAAGATTGTAAAGTTCTGTTAAATCTGAGATTGTTTGGCTAAACACAGGCCTTTCTCACCGAGCTCAAGATGTTGTGATAAGCAAAAAAGAGGCCACGTCATTTTACAAACGCTTCTTTCTGGACAATGACATCTACGAAGAATGCTACGGAGAGGAATCGTGTGACTTCGAAGAAGTCGTCGAAAAGTACGGTCATTCGGAACAGTCGGTTGGTCAAATTTGATTTTATCTTTATTACGAACGAGTCGAATATTCATCTCTCATCGGCAAATTAGTCATTTTTCAATAATTTCCGTATCAATGTCAAATTTCATCGACCAATTGCTGTTATGATCTTAATGATTGTGACAGACACTTCAACTTTACGCGGGAAATTTAATTGAAATAATGTTTTCATTTAAATACATTAATATGTTATAACTTAAATATTCCTTGATGTTTTTTTTTCCTGTTGAAAGAAAGTTGATATCAATCCAACCAGAGACAAAAGCTAGTCGTTAAAGATCGCGGTGTTGTCTGTTATTTTAACAGGTATATTGCTTTTAACCTCTGCAATGCAACCTGGCAGGTAGTGGTTTTGGATGGGAATTGGAAGACCTATTTAGCCATTTTTAGTCATAATTAATTGAGCAATAGACATAACATATTTACTGAATGAATGTTTAAAATATCGGCATTGATAAAGTGTAAGTAAATCGAGAAAAATTTGTAAAAGATCTTGGAGGAGGAGGTTAGGTTGCGGAAATATTTCGGTTTTGTTTGCTCATAATTTAGCATATAAAAAGGAAATGGCTCTCTCATTTGATTGTGTCTGGGCTTACATCAACGCTTTCTTTGCAGTATGAATACTGGAACACGTATACTTGTAACACCACCAATAAACGCTGTAAAGGTAAGTACTAAGATCAACAAAAGGTTCAAAAGGTCGCATGCATGGTTTTGAAATAACGAAGATAACATCTATCTCCCATAAGGGAAGGGTCAAATGTACCTTACCCACTATCCCCCCCTCCCCCCGCACCCTCTTAGTTGTGCCTGTTTCTTTTCTACATACATCAACCATTCAGACGTCGCCTGCCGTGGTTATCCAATCGGAATGGAGAGCGGAAAGATCTCGGATGAAAACATCGTTGCCTCCTCGTGGCAGGAACCCTTCCATGCCTTCCGACCTGAGAAGGGTCGTCTACACAAAGATGACGGTGTATGGTGTCCTAACACCCTGGGAGAAGTTGACAAGGGATATTACCTTCAAGTTGAGTTTCCAGGTCGATACAACATTTGTGCAGTTGCTTCTCAGGGTTCACCTCTGTATGATACAGACTGGGTGACAAAATATCGACTTCAATACTCCATGGACGGGCAGAACTTCACGTTTTACACCGAAAATGGGGAGGTCAAGGTAAGATTTACTTCTCCGCCAAACTGACTGCATAGCTGGTAAATCACTGAATTAATTGTTGATTGGCGCCCGATGTATAGGACTAAGTAATATTAAAACCAAAGCAATCACAATAGCCAATCAGAGCAAAGGAAATATTGCAAATAGCCAATGAGAACATAACGTATAACATACTGTTAAAAGCGCGTCAAACTCGGGTGACCAATGGAGCAAGTCGCATTTCAGTTTTAAATTCATTGATTGAGGGTGGTATGAGTTTTCTGGACCAATAATAGAGAAAATAAACGCAAAAATTGAGCGATCCTTGATGATCTTCGACACTACAATCCTCGATTACTTTTGGCAATCAATCAAAATTTTATAATAAGAAACCTGTCCTGCTCAAAATCAATTCAATGATCCTCGGCACCTCATGATTCTTTCAGGAGTTTTCCGGTAACACGAACGCTAAAGAGATGGTAAAGAATGACTTAAGCCGACCAATCACTGCACATTTCATCCGCTTTGTCCCCGTTGAATGGAACTACAAGCCTTGTATGCGTGTTGAGGTCTATGGATCAGCCATTGGTAAGAGTTAAACTCACCTTTTCCTAAGCTGGAACCGAAAATTTTCGTGTGGCTTGGATAAACTTGGCACTCCCTCCTCCCCTTATACACTTTTCTACTCGCCCCTAGCTTTCCTCGATCTTGCAATTAAACACTCAACACTTGCCGCCAGAAAATACGCATGCCATGCAAGCTGGACCTAAAATGTATTAACCTCTTAACTCCCAAGAGTGATAAGCATCTAATTTCTCCCAACATTATAACCCCTAAATCAAACATTAAGCTCATGACAATAAGGGAAATGACCCCAAACTTAAGAAGCCCTTGATTGTTAGACAAGTTCTCCTTGCAAGCACCAGAGGAAATGTATAGAGAAAGGTACGGAGAACGTGTGTAGTGATGTTAGGGTTTAAAGAGTGAAGACTTGTTCAGAGATAATAACAGTTCGGTTTTGATTTGTTATTTAAGCCTGTCCCTGGAAAACAAAGAACGACAAGTGTTGTGTGTTTCCATTCACATACAAGGGAAAGAAGTACTACAAGTGCATTGTAGACTGGGTCTGGATGCCATGGTGCGCAACAACTTCGAACTTTGACAAGGACAACGAGTGGGAGAACTGCCTTCCAAGTACGTACTGATTCACATCTAGTTTCTTATAACAAGATGAAATATATGTGGCCATGTTTTGAGCCCAGTTTAAAGGATGTGATAAACTGGGAAAACGATTCACCGGGAACATTGTCATAGATTACCTGCAGAATGGGGAAAGAATCATTCATAGAAATTATCTTGAATGGCTGCGTGTCTTTCTTAATTAAGCTGTTCTTTCCGTTCTGTCAGTCTTTAAGTACTATCCATTGATTTCTGTCTCCCATTGTAGAAAGCAAGCAATAAGATGAGCTACTACAAACCATTAGAGAACTGAGAATGTCACGTAGTGAAAATGATTTACATTGTCATAGGTTGCTTGCAGGATAGGAGGAGGAGGGGGGGGGGGAGGGGGGATTCTTCAAAATAATCTTGAATAATTGCATGTCTTTCCTGATAAAGCGGTTCTTTTCGTTCTGTCAGTTTTAAAGTGCCTTCCACCGATTTTCTTTCTCCCTTTGTAGAAAGCAAGCAGTAAGAGGAGCTTCTACAAACCATCAGGGAACTGAGAATAGTAGTGAAATAGCTGAATCAAGAAAATAAAGAAGCAGTTGCAGTGATTCTCTTAAAACATTAATTTAGTGGAAAATGTACTCTTGGCTCATTAACAACAACTTGGATTATTAAATAAAACTCTCCTGATTGCCACACCTAATTTATCAAATAACCCTGCAACTCATGTTTCCTTCTCCAAACCGACAAACGTGTGCTGAGGAATTCAATTTGAAACAGGCTTCGATTCATGTTGCGAAGACAGAGCATCTACACAAACCTCAGTAGAGGATTCACTCAACAGAGAATACAAACACGAAAGCCCCATTATAAAAAATAATAATACCTGGAGTCGATTTTTCTCCTTCTCGTTATTTCTCTACCTACGTCTAACCACTACAGGTGGCAATAAATTACTTTAGAATTCTATTATTTCATTCAAATTTCTTTGTGACATTTTTTCGAGAAAAATGACCTTGCTAAAAATGACCGTTACATTCTCATTTGAAAAAATCTTCTATTCCTTTAGTTTTCACTCAAATTTTTTTTATCAATCTGAGTCACGATATGGATTCATGCCATTATCTCCTTCCGTTATACGCCAGTCTATTTGTTCTGCGGACGAAACGTCACGAAATTCATCTTACGATAAATCTGAACACGTTCCTTTTTTTATTCCTAGTTTTCATTAACTGAATGGACGAAAACACTTCCATTTAATTGTCATGTTAACTATGTCATATGTCTCCCTTTCAAACACAGTTTCGTTTTTAAGTTTTTTTCCTAATCAGGGTAGATGATGAAGTTTTTTTAAGAATATGAAAAAGAATGAACGTGCGGCACAAATTTTACCCGTTTTTGTATCGTAAAACATCGTTTTCAAATGAATTTGTGTGAAAGGAGCTTAACTCAAAGACAGTCCTCCAATAAACACATCTACCGACTGTCGGCAATGTTATCGTTAGGTGAAAAATACTTGCACTTCAAACACTGCGACTGGCTTCCCGCTGAATCGAACCCTGTCGCTCGCCACCATAAAATGACTTTCTTCACCCTCCCTTCCCAATAATGCAACTGTTACTGTAATAGGCGGTCAGCAGTTTAGAGCTTGTTCCGGTCTTCCCCGATTAAAATGGTAAGAGATCGTCATCGTCGTTTTGTTCTTCGTCGTCACTCCCCTCAGCTATCTTAATGAGAGAATCCGCCTCGTCGTCATCTGAGACATCGAGCTAGAATGGAAAAAAACAACAAATAAACCAACAAAAAGAGGAACTTAATATAGTTGTTACAGGAAAACTATTCGTTGGGGCGCTTTTTCGATGAGTGTGGTAAACGCAAAACCAAAGTAATCACAACGGCCGACCAGTAGGTAGCATACAATGAGCGAATGAAAGCTCCTGGGAGTTCACAGTAAAAACAAGTTAACACAACCGCATATCGCAATTTGTTTCAGCTTGGCAAATGACTGATTAAAAGGGTGGCGAAAGTAAATAGAAGCAAAAACTAAGCGACCCTCGATGATCTTCGACACTCGGTTAAGAACTGTTAATAATAAGATTTGTGAAAACTAGTGTGCCCATTTAAAACAAGGCCAGTTAGATGTCAAGGAATACGACAGGGCGTGAAATTAACTTTTTTTTTCTGATAGCCACTTGGCTCCTGAATTCTCCAAAGTGGTAGCCAATTCAAAAAAAGTTGGTCGCCATTTTCAACGACAAACAAAATCTTTCTTTACGCTGTCAGCGTTCTAGATAGACCCTCCAAAATAAAGTTAGGGAAAAGATCTTTGACGTGCTACAAAGTGGACACTAGGATGTATGATATACAACCTTCAGGCTCATCTAAATCCAAGATGGCGTCTAGTTATCGATCGAGATACATGTGCTACGTTTTGGAAACAAACTAAACGAGGAAGTTTGCCGCGGATTTATCTTTGCAAATTTATTTAATTCACTATATCTCTTGGTAAGGTTATGATGAAACGTTCTAGTCGCCAATTTGGCGACTAACTTTCAGGATTTGGTCGCCAAAGTGAAAAATTTAGTCGCATTGGCGCCTGTATTAGGCGCAATTTCACGCCCTGTACGATAACTTTTCTTACGTGGCTGGGATTTCATCATTTCTGTCCTTTGTCGTTCGTAGATTTTAAGCAGTAGATACGCATAGTGCATTTGAGAGTGTACCACGAACCGAAAACAATGAGAGGCCTTAAGGTCTTGCCTTGTTAAGTGAAGCCTGTGTTTGGTGAACGAAGCGCGATAATGACGCACAGCGTTGCAAGGAGTTTTGAGAGCTACTCAACCCAAGCCTCTTCCTTGTTTCTTTCTGCCCTACTAGTGTATCGGGTTCCCTTTACTGACAAGAAGCTTGGAACCTTCTGAGTTATTGACTATTGCTGAATTGAGAGGGTTGGATTACCTTTTGATATCTGTACGACGGATATTTAATCTCTTTGCGAAGAACATGTGTCTTGAAGTTTACCCTCAAACAAGAAATGATTCGATGCCTGCAATGAGAGCAAATAAAAGTTAGAGTCAAAATCAGCATGTTCTATGCTGTCACGAAAACGTATACTAGAGATACAGATGTCCCTCCATAAACGGAGATCAAAAGGTATAAGTAAATAAGAGGATGTTAAATCTGCTCTTTTCGAATGTGGTTGCTTTGAGGTAGTAAGAATGACAAAAATGGAGCTCACTAACCTTCTGGAAGGTTTATAAAAAACAACAACAAACACAATGATCAAGAGAACGGCGAAAACCACACCAAATGCGATCCCTAAGTTTTTCTTTCCAGCAGACTTGACTGTTTTGTGTCCAGCTTCAGGAACATCTGTCACGTCGCGGCTCCTGGACACAAAAATAAAGCCTTATTAGAGAACCGGCAACTTTTGATCAACGGTTTTCCAACCATTGATTCAAATTGAAACCAAAATTAAAACCAAGACTGGGAAAGAGATCACACGAAGTGCGAAAGGAAACACTTTTCAGTAAAATTGGCAAATTCAAAGGAAACATTTATCCCGGAGAAATAAAGCTTGGGTTAGTATCCTTCCCACAATATCTGCACTGTATTTGTTTCATCTGATTGGGTCTGGACGAAATGACACATAAAAGGCGAGGGAAATGCACGTAATAACGCCATATATGGTTTTTGTTTTACAGATGATTAACTGAGAGCGAAGCGCCAAATTTTTTTTCGGCCAATCCCAAAAAGCTTCTAAACAGGCTTGGTGAGACAGATAAATAGATGTTCTACTTACAAGTCTCCCGCGCAAACAATGGAAGTTGTCCAAGTGAAGAAATGATGCTTGTTGCTCGACTTGTAATCAAATTTGGGACTTCCCTAAGGAGGAAAAAAGTGACAAATTTCAATATCTTGCCAGCTTGAGGAGCCATCTTGAATGACAATTCATACCGTCAGGAAAGAAATTGTCAAGTAGAAGCACCACAGTCATTGCTTTTCAGAATGACACTTATACTGTTTCGATCGTTAAAATTAATTCAAAATAACAGAATTATTAGAATACAATACCAGACGAATGATCAGAAACGCTGTGGCATGGGGATCACAACAGCGACTGATAACTATAATCACTTAAAATGTTACATAATTGACTTCTTAAGACAAGGAGAATGCGCCAACTCTTACCACTTCCTCATCTGAACAATGAAAGTTTATCACAAGCACGAACCCATCACTTGCCGTCATCTCAAGCGAAAAAATGGCGTCTACAAAGTAAATGATAGTTACGAATTCTCGAAAGTAAAAGAGAAAACGCTAAGAGAAGAAACCATCAGATTCTGTTCAGATCTTCGGATTTCGTGCCAGTAGGCTCTGCCACTGACATTAAGTCGATAGATGGTGAGCGAGGTCGTGAAAGAGCTTTATAGGTGACAAACGTACTGCTATTATCAGCAATATCAAAAGCGTCAGGAACGAGGGGTGTAAAGGAGAAATGAGTGATACGTGATTAAGCGAAAAAATAATACACGACGCATGAATTTTACAGAAAGACAAGGTAAGGTGGGACTGAAGTTTTCCCTTTTAAATTCACGACGCGTAAAATACTGTTTAAAGTACATGTGACGCGTGAAACGTGATAAGGACCCTCTCTTTGCTACCCTCTTGAAAATGAAACAGATCTGTCAGGGTGGCAACTTTGCGCTTTATCGTCGAATAATGAAATTATTGTACATTTGTCACGGGTGAAAGTCTATTTATTAGTCTGACCACTCATTTTAGGAATTCTCTGGCAATATTCTGCATGTGTTGGTAGTAAACGTCCAACCTGAAATACTTAGGTGTCCTCGCCAAGTATTGTTCAAGATAATTACTTTTAGCTTCCTGCCGTAACCAATGAGAGCAGTAAAAACGTATAAACTTTAATCCAAGAGAGAAAAATTTTTCTGCACTATTTTCCTTGCGAGTTAATCAGATAAAACGTACCTTCATAATAAATACTTTTATGCATCACAATAAACTCCTTATTCCCACGGCACACTGAAGTCTCGTCTCCATGACAGTTCGATGGTAACTCTTTAAATCCCTTAAGTTTACCACAAACGTTGATGTAATAAAACACTGCTTTACCATGTTCGTCTTGTCCAAGAACTCTCCACGTGCTGAGGAGTAGTCACAAAAAAACCGGCATCAATTTAATTCCCTCTACGAGCGGCCTCATCAACATTAGGAACAATCCATGCTGATGAGTGACATAGTTTATGTCATGCACACAACCTATGTGTTTTTTAATAACTGTTGTTTTTACATTCTGAAGACTTCCGGAAAATGATGTCTCCGTTTGTCAAATATCTGTAGATTGCTCTTCTTTGATAAAAATATTGTTTTGCAATGTAAGGACCTATGTCTTCTGGCTGTCAATTTGATTTTTCTTCTTTTTATTATTTTCATATGTGCATGTGTGGCTCCTGCTACATGCTATTAGCTTAACTTTGAATATTTTCGTCATGTATTTGTGTGTGTATGTCTATGTTTGTTTGCCTCACGTCTCTGACCTCAACAATTAAAATATATTTTCTTTGAACTGAACACCTGGTATTTTCAAACCTTAGCCGTTTCGGTGAGCCAGAAACCCTACCATCATCGTTCTTTCGCGTTGGTTTAATGTCATACACTGTAGGGGCCAGCTACGCTTAACGAAAATAAATACGACACAACAACTTGTATGCGTCCAGATTCCTTGTATTCTCGTAAACAACGATTTACATACGAGGATCTATCCGGCGATGATTCGAAGTTACTGCTTACGGGATAGCCTCAAAATCTTTAGCTATAAACTACATTTGGCAAAAAAACAAAAAAAAAAAAAAAGGCAAAGAAAACTTACAAACAACGCCCAAGCAATGCAAATTGCGAGAGAAACTGCGCCCTAGGTATATGGTCAGCGGTGCTACAGAATGTGAGTAAATTCAACGAATCGTACACACACTATTTCTAGAACCAAAAGACAACCCAACAAAATATTACCTTTCGGATCCATTCACAAGCTTTTTCAAATCAATGCTTCTGCCCGTGACCGGATGTTTGATGACACAATTGTTTTCGTCAATTTTTTTTCTGCAATGGAATTGGAGGAAATGAAAAAAAACAGAAAATCTTTTCAAAGCCTAATGCCGAGAGAAAGAAATTCCAAGCGGGCTGATAAATCTTAATTCACATTAAAAAAGTGGAACAACCAGGCGAGGTAACAAGGGAAATTAAACATTTCTGAAAAATCACAGAATAAAGATGAAAATAACAGAAGAAAGAAAGGAGGAAATGTTATAAGTTTCAGTTTGGAGGAAATAAACGCTTGAAGACGGTGGCACTTGTGTTTTTTAAGTAACTACATCAGAAAGTTTTAGGTCTCTTAGACATTGCAAGATATTTTGGTACCATCCCCTCAGTTGGTGGTGTAAATTGGCCTCCAGAAACTGATTGAAAAGCTGGCGTTTCGAACGTTAGCTCTACGTCTGAGCGAACAGAGATATTGTGGGTTGTGCGTGGTTTTATACAGAAATATGGAGAAAGTTTAACAGAGACTGAAGGCGACCAACCATCTGTAACCAACAGAGGTCAAAGAGGCCTGGGGTGCTGAGAAGATGAATTTGTTTAACAAACAAGAGCTTCTTTAGTTGGTGATCATTTCCTATATTCTCATGGCTTAAATATATGATTTAAGTGTGATATTGTCAGGAGAAGTGAGATGTTAATCACCCCTAGGGATCAAATGGTTAACTTAGTGTTCAAAAATCCATAGGTTTTCCTTCTCCCTACTTTTGTTTCCTTAGGCAGTTTTGTAATAGCGTTTGTAATAACCAATTGCGCATGCTTGAGCGGCGTTTAACCGCTGTGTTAACAGTACACCTCCTTTATAGAAAACAAATATGAAGTAACACAGTCGAAGAACTTAATTTAGGCAATCCTCACCTTTCCACTCTACAAGCTACCGAGCTTTTCCAGTTAATAACAAAAACGCAAGATTGCCACTCTTCTCTGTGGAAAAAAAGACGAACGCGACAGTGATAAAAAAAAAGGTTACACGTAATACAGAACAATTCCTATGGATCAATTGCTTTTTTCTGGATGTGATGTTTCCTCTCATTTACCGTTAGTTTCTGTGTAAAGCCAACAGCAGGCAAACCTTTTCCACTCAAGTAGATATTATAGTCTTCAATTCGTACAACATACCTTGATAAAGAAGGCTGACCAACATGATTTCCACAGTCAAAATAGAAAACGACTTTGGACTCCACACCTCCTCTGCAACCATCGACTGGTAGCCCTGTATACGTTAACTGAAGCTTACCACCTGTAAAAAAAGAAGTGAAAAAAGGATTCTCAGTTCTTTCTTCTTTTCGCCCATCTCCCTTGCTATCCCATTTTGCTCTGTCCCACCACCAATTGACACATATATTACCCCAGTGTCTCCTCTTCCTTCTCTTCGCACCACCCTCTCTTCCCTATAGTAGTTCTTGTATCTCAAGTCTGTCCCTTCTTTCCATCGATACCTTTGCCCCTCACCAGATCCTTCCATCTTCCTCCTTTAATATTCAATCGCAATCCATGCTTTTTCTGGAAGATTTCTTCTCTAAATCTTTCTCCTGCCCTTACTTTCTTCATCGATTGCCCTGCATGTCTCTTCTTTCAGCAAGTCTTCAACATGACTCCCCTCCTCTCCCCTCCCCCCCTAATACATCTCTCACTACCCTATGACCAACATCCATCACCTTTGCCTTTCCCTCAACTAACATTACGCCTCTGTGTCTCGTATTTTCAGCCTTGCATGTTTCTGCCCTCTCCTCGCAGGTCTGGCCCACCCATTACACCCATGTAACTAACCCTATATCTATTGACCGGCTGGGTTACAGGCTGGTAAGACACATAGGCATGAAAATCAGCAAAGAGAACGTGTATTAAATACTTTAATTGCCAGTTTCTGTCATTGGTTATCCTGTGTAATCGGACCAGTCCGTCCGAGCATTTTAAGTCACGTGATTTTACCGTGGTTCATTCCAGTTTGGGTCAAACCTGGGCGCTAAGCGGTTTCTTTCGCTTTGTTCATATTTCGCTTGTATACGGCTAAGGAACCAGTTACTGGACTGTCATTTGTCAAGAAACTTACGGAAACCAAAGGATTGAACATTGTAAACTCGTGGATTAACGGTTACGGTAACACGATTTTTGCATTGTAAACTACCGGACAGTGTCAAGCGTTTCGCTGATCTAGAGGAATAAAGAATGTATTTTACGGCTGATACAAATACTCACCCTTAAAAGAGATCATCTGCGTGCTTGTGAGCCCGAGTACGTTCACTTTGTCTTGTCCTGCTCTTATCATACAAACTGAAGCAGAAGGCGGACAACCTGGAAGCAAACAAATCAATTTTAAAAATTGGAAATGTAAATAGATAGACAAACGAAATCTATGATAATTTTACGACATTAAAGTATTAGCTCAAATCACTGCTTTTCAGCTTCCTTGACGATAATACTAAGATACCTTTGGGACCATCACTGATGCCTCTGCAAATGTTTATCCAGAATCTAAGAAAAAAAAAGAGAAAAAATATTTCAGTCTGACTTCGCAAATCCTTAAGAGCTTTTTTAACTAAATTTGAATAAAAGGAAGAACAAAGACCTACAAAGGATAAACGTGAACAACACAAAGAGCTAATGGGAACGCCGTGCCATGCTGTTGATCTTTGAAATTTCTTTTCCTATGTGATCTTATAAGCTAACAACCGTAACCAATGATTCCTGCCCAAGTTTGATATTCGACATAAAACGGCCCACTTCAAAAGAGGGTTTCCACAAAATGAAAAATACCCTACCGTCATAAAATAGTCGCCAGAAATTAAATCAAATACACGACAGCGACCGAAATCGGACGAACGTGATCGAAAACGAACGTTACTATTCAAAATCGAACGAGATCGTCCGAAATCGGACGGAAGAATCCAAAATTCGACTGAAGTATCCAAAAACTGCCGCAAGCGGACGATAACGTCAGAAATTGGATGATAGTATCGAAAATCGAACAAAAGCGCTGCAATCAAATGGAAGTGTCCTGAAACGAGCGATAGCCTCCGAGATCTAACGGGAGTGAGTAAAAACGGACGATGGCGTCCGAAACCTGAAGATAGCATCCAAAATTGGTGACCTTTGCTGCTAATTTATTCAAGTTGATTTTTCCTTCTCGCCAAGGCGACCAGAACAATCGCACGGCTGCTAAATAGAGAATATTAGAAAAAGAAAGCAAACGGAAATAATGAAGAGAATTAAATGGAAAATGAATAGAAACGAGCAGTGACATAGCTGTAGAGCAGAAGTAGGTACCTGTCTTTATGACTCGTTGTGTAATTCCAGCTTCCTGTTCGACTTGTTAGGAGTTGCAGGTCGTAAGTAGTACCGGAATCACTGTAACTGCACACCCGCTCAAGCGGAGGACATACTAAATTTGTTCTGAATATAAAATCTGCACCGTTTTTCTACGAAAACCAAAACAAAATTTTTGAAAGGTAATAATCACCAAGCCAGAATAAACAGAACAAAGAGTAGTTCCATGAAAAAAGAATTAAAATCACTCACCCCATATGATTGCATTTGTGGCTGCCCACGATTCGTCTGATTTCTGTCGCAAATAAATGTTATTTTTGATTTTACATCAGCATCTGAAAAACGACAGAAAAACAAATTGTTCCACGTACAGTATATACACCTTACTCGATGGTTTAACCTATAATACGCTCGGATATTTTGAGAGTTGCGTAGTACTTTTACAAGCCCCTAAGGAGCGATAAAAAATACAAGCAATGAGCAAATTATCCGCTCGTATTGCATATTAAACCATTAAATAAGGGATTTATCAGTTCACTATATATCATTTTAATTTGAGTTTGCGAAACTTATCTATGCATCGTATCAATTGCATATAGAGTACATGTAAGACGAAACCAACATGAAAGAAAACAATCAAGTGTTCTCTGTGCCCAACAAAAAAAATCTGTGTATATGAGAGCGATCTCTGCAGTAGTGAAAATAAGGCCTGCAAAAAAAATCAGGCCTGTTCGGTATTTAAACCCATGACCTCTGCGATACCGATGCGGTGCGGTATGTGTCGATACCGGTGCAATGCGGTATCTGACGCGTTTAAAAGTTCGTTTCTTTAAAAGTCAAGCTAAAAAACGAAAAAAGAAGAGAGAGTTGTAAATGAGTCCAAGGACTCACAGCCGGGAAAATGGAAGTTGTCAAATTGCGATTGGTTTAAATATCACCTATACTGAATTGGCTTATAGCTCACATCACTAACTTAATTTATTTTTTTTTACGCAAATTACTCTTTAGTCTTATTTTACTGAGCACTTACCTTTACACTCTTTATTGCAGTACTGCAAAATCAACATTTCGTCCTCCCTGAAGAAACTCATACTTCTGTGCTCGTACCGACCCAGGCTTTTGTACGACTTAGTGACATTATTCGTAACCATGCATACTCCATCGCCTTCGCAGCGTCCCTTTTCCAACTTTAACGGTTCGCAAACGGACAAATAGAAGAACTTATGGTCATTTTCATTTCCCTGGAGAAAAAGGGAAATAAAATTTCCTCACAATATTGTCTATAAAATTATTTTCTATGAGTAAGATGAGTAGAAAGATCTTTCCACGACTTGACCGTAACGAACTGGTTTCTGAAACGCTTACTTAGATAATTTTTTGTCATTGTTTAAAAAAAATAGCTGCAACGAATGAAAAATGTTGAAACATTGCACACATTGCATGAATGAAAGCTGTTTATTCAGCTGCAAGAGAGGCTGACAACATTTCACACGAAGTGCTGCCAGTCTCTTCACGTATGGCTGTACTTAAAGTGCTTTTGTGACGTCGTCAAACTTAAAATTCTCCATCCAATTGTAGTTGTTGTGGTGGTGCAAGTGCTAAAGGCGATTAACATAACTTAGCTTTATGAAAGCTTAGGAGCTAGGCAAGCAAGATGTCTTCACAGAGGAGCCTCCAGGCAACATGAGGCAGCACTTTGATTATGCGTCCTCGTGTTATAAATTTAAATCATTTAAAGTTATGTGTTATGCATTTGAAAAAGTTATACTCTCCTTATCACTTCCTGTATTGGTAACTTTATCCCTAAATGCCACTAAAATAAGTCCGGCTAAGACAGTGAGCTGCAATTAATCATACCACTGTGAAATGATGAGAACCAGGAGAGTTCAAGAGCGGCTTGAGGGAGTAAACTTGTCCGGTACCATTGTCAAACACTCTGCAGTTTTCAAGATCTACTTTCTGAATGTTAGGACAAGCAGCGACTGTGGCCCAGCTGATATGAATGGTACACTTGTCCTCTGACTCCAAAACAGGATGACCCTGAAAAACAAAACCCAACAAATAAGTAAAATGGAAAGCAAAACAGAATTTTTAACTTGCAAGATTAATTGGGTACAAGGTCATCTTACCGAGGCTAGTGGTGTGAAAATAATTTGTCATTTCCTTCAGATATATATCTCTTTGCTTTTTACCCCGCTTTGATAATTTCAATCGCCAACAAAACCTCTCAACGCCATCTCCTAAACTCTCAACTCCACACCACTTCCCTCGGCAAGATGACCTTTGATTGGTTATCATTTCAGAGATTTCAGAACAGGCTGTAAGTTGAGTCAAACGGACGGAACGAATGATCACTCGATTGACTATTTTCAAGAATCACTCAAACTTATGAAATTCAGTGATGAGGTTATTCGAGTGTTTGTATTGTCAATAGCCATGAAAAAAAAGGACGCTAGGGAAAGACTAGAAAAAAATTCTCAAAGGAATTTAACGCAAAAGAAACTCGCCCGAGCATGAACTAATCTTATTGTACAATCAACAAAGAAAAAGTAAAAAGGTTTTTCACAGACTCACCAATTCACCATATGAACAACGAAACTTAAAGTGGACTTCTATGGTTTTTGAAGGATCTTTCGAGCACGTGGTCGGACTTGTGTAAACAAGATTCACCTCTCTACTCTTGACTACCACTGGGGGTTGGACTGCTTTTCCTAGGTCCTGATCAACAATAAAATGGACATTTCGCCTTACTGCATTACAAAAATGTCATGTTTTCTGAGAGGACTGATCCGTACAAACGCAATGACTTCCAAGAACAAACAATAAACAAACAATTAATCATATAGGCATCATATCATTGAAGATGGGCATTTGGTGTACGCCTTTCTACACCGAATTTCATGCAAAAATATTTGCGAAAATTCTCAAAAAAAAAAAATAATAATAACATATCACAATCACTTGCAACAGAACGTCCCTTGGAGAAAGAAAGGCTTCTCTTCCGAGCTCAATTATCAGCCACTCAAAACACAAGATTGGCTTCACCTTGTGCGCTTGCATTTTACCTCATATTGTTGATTTTTCTGCCCATTTGTCCAGACTTTACACGCCCAGGCGCCTGCTGGACAATTTATTCCTGGCATGGGTAACAAAGGGCGGCACAGATTTACATAGTAAGAGGCAGTGTATTTCTTACCGTCCTCTGGTATCACCTGTTAAACAACGGAGACAAGTA